GGGGGGGGGGGGGGGGGGTGGGGGGGATGGTGCGCACATGCGCACCAGCGAGCTGTGCTGCCGAACCCCGGTAGACAGTCCCATGCGCAGACCCATGAGCAGACAGGTGCCCGCAGGCGGGTCTGGGACGGGCCTGGGCCCCTCTCGCATGGGGTCGATGGCCTTGAGCATGTGCGCTTTGGGGGCAAGGGAGTGAGTGGGTGGGTGGGTCCTGAATTGTGGCCCGAGTTCGGTGCCGTTGCTGCTGGGAGGCGTCCTGGCCTAGGAAGACCCGCCTGGGGAGGGGCGGTCTGACCCTGACAGGAGCTTCCAGGTTCGGCTTGCTGTTGGAAATGGAGGGGATTGGCTCCCAGAGCTTTCGCTGTGTCTCTGGTGATGGAACGCATGTGCTAGACGCTGTCATCTCTGCAGCTCCCATCTGTGGTTGCAGGGAGGGGGCTTTTATTGAGCGTGCCTGCTGTCCTGGTTTGGGGGAGGGTGAAAGAAGCACCCTCTCACTTGGAAGTTGTAGGTTATTCACCCGTTCTCCAGCCTCCTCCTTTATATACGGCAGTGCCTGGAGCTGGCGGGGCCTCACCCGGACAGACCTCCCCGGTGGGGGCAGGGAGTGGAGGCCGGCCACCACTTGTACGTGTTTAAACTTCCAAAGAGGTGGCACTGTGGGCTCCCAGGAGGGCGGTGGGAGGCTCTGTCCCACCATCCCAAGGGAGGCCAACTCCTTTGCTAGGTCTTAAGGCCCTTGTAGAGTTTTGTCTGAGTCAGTGGTCGGCAAACTGGCCCCTTGAGTGTGGCTCTTCCACAAAATACCGCGTGCGGGCGCGCACGTACAGTGCGATTGAAACTTCGTGGCCCATGCCACGGGGCCAAAGAGCCGCATGTGGCTCGCGAGCCGCGGTTTGCCGACCACTGGTCTGAGTGATGGGAGTGTCCTTACAACAGCAGCCACTTCCGGAATCCTCCTTGATCCCTGCTGTCATCCATGGTAGTCTCAGGAGTCTTCAGAAATACCTGGATGATCTGAAAATTGGGTCCTGGCTCAGTCCAAGTAGCTTGGGAAAGCTTGCTCCATTTTTTAAGGAAAGCTGTTCAGCCTCTGTGAACAATTATGTATTGTCTGGCTTGGGTTGGTGATGGCGAACTGGGAACCCCGGCGGCTGTGGCTGGGTTTTTGGGTCTCCTTCCCCTGCCTGGGAACAGGCAGCCTGTGGTCGAACTGAGCTCTCTGATGCCAGGTGGGGGTGGGGTGGATTGAACTCATCCAAGTAGCCAAGAGCATTCGGCTTGGAGGGATGAGTCAGATGGACCAGCACATGTGACCCTTCCCTACTCCCCAGGCCACGGTGAGAAGCGACAGTCTAATCTCTAGGGACCCAGTCCATATCTCGCTAGATGCCAGCCTAGTGACTCAGGGCTAGGGCCCGCTCACCTGGGGCACACCCACGCCGTGAAGACCAGTCCCGGACAGCAGCTTAGGCTGTTGGCTGCCGCCCTCTGGAGAAGGGCTCACTGCTAAAACCCCTTTTGTCCCAGAAAGAATGAGGCTGACGGTCAGGCAGGGGTTAAATGCAGGGTGGCAGCATTTAAAGTCTGGGGCAGATGTGGGCTGCTCTGCCTGCCAGACGAGATGGGCTGCTGCCTCATGCATCCTGTTGTTGAGGCAGAACAGGCAACGTTGAAGGGGGAGAGGGTCAGGGGAGGGCTAGGTGCTGGTGTAGCTTTTGGCCATAGTCTAGCACACGGCCCCGCCCTCCCCCTCGGGCCTTTTCTTAGCAGAGCCTGGCTGGGGCTGGGTTATACTTGAAGATCTGTGGGCCCTGACTGGTTTGGGTCAGTGACTGGAATCTCCTGAATCACAGTCTGTCGGTGGGGTCCTGGCATCCGTAGTTTTTGAAGACAAGTTGGGGAACCCCAGGTGTAAGGGGTGGAAGGCTCTGTGTTCCC